AAAAAAAAAAAAAAAAAAAAAAAAGAACAAGGACTGGCAAACTATAGCCAGAGGACCAAATCCTTTTCAGAGTATTTTTATAAATAAAATTTTATTGAAGCACAGATACGTTCATATATTTATATATAGACTGTGACTGTTTCTGTCCTACAAAGGCTCAGTAGAATGCTTGGACTGAGACTAGCCTGCAAAGCTAGACAGCAGAAGAGCTATTTACTGTCAGCAGATCCTTTCTTTTTTGTTATAACTATAACAACAAAGTAACTCAGTCTTAACACTACTGAAATTTTGAGCCAGACAGTTATTTTTTGAGGGCCAATTTGTGCATTGTACGATGTGTAAAGCATTATCTTTCCTCTTACTCTTTCCCCATGTTGTGAAGATAAAAAATGCTTCCACAAGTAACCAGGTGTCCTCTGGGGGGGCGGGGCAGAATTACCCATGGTTGAGAACTACTAATTCACAAAAAATTAGAAATACATGATTTCTTTTTCATGTTATGCTTTTCGTTGACTAACCACTGCATTTCTAATTTTTTTCTTTGTGATACTGGGGATTAAACCCAAGGCCTTGTGCTTGACTATTGAAGTACACTCCCAGCCCTCTAATTTTCTTTATTTTACTTAGTGTGAGTACATTTTGATTGTGAGTGTGATTCTTGTTTTTGGCAGAAGACTACCTGAAGAAGAGGGAACAATTCTAATCCTTACAAAGGTTCTTCTCCCTGCTTTTTTCTTACTCCTCTCATTGCCATTCTGTTGTCTTTATTGAGAGTCAAGTAACAGCTCATTTGCCTCACATATAAAGCTGTAAAATGTGATTTATAATGTTGTTAGGAGTAAATAAAAGAGTATGCACAAAGCCCCTGCTTTATATACTGTAAAAAATAGTACTTGCTATTTTCTATTTTTCCACTTGTCTCTCCCTCTGTTACTCTTTGAACCAGTAAGTTCCCAGTAGTTTGTTCACTTGTTGCTCAGTGATGATGCCATGAGTTTGAACAGACCTTGGAAAAGATAGAATAACTCATTATACCTTTTTATAGGTTGGGATTCTTTTCATTATGGAATCTTTCTGTGTTTACTTTGTGCCAATTAAAATCACCCTATTTTCCTAGTCTTGTATGCCAGATAATGTGTGTCCACCTGAGCGTTCCCATGTGGGGTGTGACGTAACAAAATACAAAGGCATAGAGTTTAAATCCTGACTTCCTGGGCTCAGTTTCAGCTTTTTTACTTTCTGACTGTGTGATCTGGGACAAGACATTAAGCTTCTATTTGAGAAATTAAATGATATTATATGTAAAGCTCCCAATTTAGCATCCTGTAACATAGTACATGCCATATAAATATTTGGTATTATTATCCTTTACTCTTATGCATGCAAAGTATCATACATATCTGAAAATTTGTATGAAGTAAAATTAGATTGTATTATGAAGGGTATTTGTAATGTAAATGTAGACATTTTACTGAGACTAAAAGCATGTCATTTTTATTCTTTAGGTATTACATGAAACCTTCCCAAAACATACATTTCTGATGAATGGATTAATTCAAGGAGTAAAGGTGGGTTATACATGTTTAAATGTACATACTTATATATGTGGAATTCTGCCACTATTATATTAACTGAGTAATCCATTAAATATCAGTTTTTATAATTAGATTATAATGTGAGGGATTATGTAATATTTTAGACTAACTGGGTTTAAATATTTGATTCAAACACTGCCAACTTTATATAATCCCATATTTCTCCTTTTTTATGTTTGCTTTATTCCAGAGGTCTTAGCTTTTATAAACTAACATTAAGAGTATTGATTGGAGGGCTGGGGATTTAGCTCAGTGGCATAGTGTCTGCTTTGCAAGCACAAGGTCCTGAGTTCAATCTCTAGTACAAAAGAAAAAAGAATACTGATTGAACATTGTGCCCCCAAAATTTAGAAAAACAAAATTGTATCAGCATGATAAAGTGTTGGTTATTAAATAAATTCTTTATAAGAAGATCTGATATTATAAACGAATTAGTAGCCCATCAGTATAAAATGGGCAGTTAGTACATGATACTGTTTCTAAAACTGCTAATGTAGAGTTACTGGGATAGAGAATTCATTAGAGTATTTCATATTGAATATCCAGCAAGCACTTTTAAATTACATGTAGGCAAAGAAGTTATTGTTTAAAGTTCAGTGATTTATTTTAGAAACAAACTTATTTAAAATTATGATAGTAGGGCTGAGGATTAAGCTCAGTGGTTCTAGAGCCTGACTCTCAAGTGCAAGGACCTCAGTTTGATCCCCAGTACCCCCCCCCCCAAAAAAAATCATGATAGTAAAATGATTTACTTTTGGCTCCTGGATATATAGCACACTTTATTTTGTTTAAATTTTCTTTTAGGGTTTGTTGTCATTCCTCAGTGCCCCACTTATTGGTGCTCTTTCTGATGTTTGGGGCCGAAAATCCTTCTTGCTGCTAACAGTATTTTTCACATGTGCCCCAATTCCTTTAATGAAGATCAGCCCATGGTATGTGTGTATTCAGATTACAGCAATCAAATATCACTTTCTGTTAATTGCTTTCTTAATGTTTGTTTTTTCTTTGTTTTTTTTTTTTTTGCCAACACATGTATGTAGTGGTTACTTTTTATTCTTCTTAAAAGTTTATTATTTAATGTAGATAAGGCCCCTAAAAATACAGTGCCAAATATTCTAAAGCTGGATGCAGCTATTGGAAACATCTGGACTAATGGTATACCTGATTTGGGGTTAACCCAAATTTCAAAACAGTATTTTAGGGATTAGATAGAATTGCTAACTTTTTATTTTCCCCAAGTAGAATGTTAAAAACACAGATGAAGTTTATCCTTGCTTGTATTAATTAGGGGTATGTTTTAGTATATAGCAATAACTCCCAAAATAATAGTTTCGTAAAGTCCAGGCATTTTATTTCTCTCTCCACTTGAAAAGGGTCTGAGTGGAGTAATCCAGAGCCAGGATAACAGTTCCATTTAACCAGACTTCTGTCTTGCTGCTCTGCCATCCTCAGCTATTGCCTCACAGTCTAAAATGGCTACTTAAACCTGAAGGTGTGGCCAAGAAAGAAGAACCGCTTTCTTTTAAGGAAACTGTACAATTCCCATTCAACCTGTATTTGCATCTCTTTGGTCAGATTTCAGGTATTTATTCCTCATAGTTATGAGATTAGGCTCCTGGCCACTCTGATCAAACTTAAGAGGAAAGGAAGGAAAATTCCCCCAAAAGAATGAATGTCTCATAGACACAGAGTAATAGATTCATTCTTTGATGTTCCTTCTACTCCTCCAGTGAGTATTAATGTTAATTAATGCACATCACAAATGTGCTGTACTGTATTTCCATTATATGTCTAGAAAAGCCTAGGAGATACATGGGGCAGAATCTTCTCCTATGGATTAAAGATCTTGCAGACAAAATGTAACCAAACAAATCCAGGGAATGAGCAAAGAATTTACTTTGGAAAACTTTGTTAGAAAAATTGTAGTAGTGATAAAATGTGGTAGAATAATATTTTGTAAGTTCATTATGATTACATGTGATTTGAAAAATATAAATGTCATTAAAATACAAACTTCTTACTTCCAATATTTTGGAATCATCTATAGTAAAATATACTTTGTTTTTTCAAATATCTTATATTCATTCTTTATAGTGACTTTTGTCTATTTTATGAACACTGCCACTCAGGTTTCTTCTGTGTGAAGACTAAATTTATTTTGCAAATAAATGAATGAATGAATGAATGAATATAATAATAATAAATAAATTGCCAACATTTGAAGAGCTAAAAATAATTTACAAAAAACATCTAGTTTATATAGGCTCAAAATAAATATGAAACAACTTGTCAGCCTTGCTGAATTTTTTTGTGTTTGTAGTACTGTTGTGGAAAACAGGAATAAATGAAGTATAATTGGCTTTATTTTGATAGTGTATTTAGTGGAGACAACAAAGCCACTTAACAGTCAAGTAGTTGGGTAAAAGGTTTACTTAAATACATAACCTACTTTTAAATGCTGTATTCCTAGTTGAAGGACCACTTCTTATCCCCATGTTTTCATAATATCTGTGACTTAGTATTTATGGTAGTGTTATCCACAAACTATCTTAGAAAGCTCTTGACTAAAATCAACTATTATTCTAATTAGCTAATAGAGATGAAGCAAAGTGTGAGTAATGGCAGCTGTTCTAATATTTCTTGTCAATTATCTTTCATTATTAGGTGGTACTTTGCTGTTATCTCTGTTTCTGGGGTTTTTGCAGTTACTTTCTCTGTGGTATTTGCGTATGTAGCAGATATAACTCAAGAGCATGAAAGAAGTATGGCTTATGGATTGGTATGTATATATATCCTATACCTTTGATTGAAAAATACCTTGTTTTAAAGTATCCCTTATAAGTGTGCAAACATTTGCATTACAAGATTTTTTTTGCATAAAAATATATTTTAGAAGTAAATTATCCATTAGACTACACTGTAAGTCACATGTCAGAATTGAAGTATATTTTGCCTTATGGAAGTTTTTGTGCTGTGAAGAATTGAACCCAGGACCTTGAACATGCTAAGCAAGTGCTCTACCAATGATCTATACCCTCACCCTGTGGAATTCTTTTTAACAAATCCTAAAAATAAGGAGTCATGAGTTTAACAGTTGCTGTACATATTTACTGCCTTCACATGAAATACAATATCTAGCTGAGAGTTCAGTATACCTTTCCTATGGCTTCAAGGGCCAGGTACAGTCTCTGTCCCCTTGGATTGTTTTTGCATGTGTTATAAGCCTTTCAAACGGCGAGAACCATTTTTAGCTGGATTTGGGCCACAGGCAATACATAATGTTATAACACCAGAACCCCTTTTTGGTGAATAAATGGAGGTGCACTCTATTGTCAATCTCAGTGGGATGGCTGCCATGAGCACAGTAACATACATGTGATACCTAGATAGCCAGAAGCAGCAAATATGGGGCGAGCATACTCGTGATTTTATAAGAAACTGTGATCTCTTTAACCAAAGGACACAACAGCACAGACTCTTAGAAGTAGGAGTTTTAGGGGAGAAAATGCTTATTGGGGAAGTTTACTCAAAGTAAGGATATCATTTAGAAACATAGAACGTAAATGACATGAGACTGCTGATAGCAGGATTTTTAAAAAGTTTTATTGAGGTATAGTTTATATCTATCTATCTATATCTGCATAACTTTAAATTCATCCATTTTATGTGTGTCGTTTAGTGAACCTTTATGAAAGTGTGGAACTGTCACAGTCCAGTTTTCAAGTTTTTTGTGTTTAAATTTTTTTTTTTTGCCTTTGGCCGAAGTTAACAGTATTCATTGTGTAGACTTTTTGTGTTAACGGTGTATTCTGTAAATGACCACTTAAATCCATAAATAGTATGATTACAATAAAGTACAGGAGTGGTCTTTGTGATCCTCTTTCCATCTGACTGGAAAGAATTGGCCGCAAAGTTGAGGGAACTGGGGAGAGGACATGACTCGCTGGTACTGCAGCTGGGCCTGTGCTCCCCACCTTGTGGATGAGCTCTCTGTGAACTCCCGAAGATGCCTAACTGACTTTCACAGTGCAAACCACTGCCCTTTCCCCATAGAAGTGCTAGAGCTGAGCCCAGGCTCCAGTTCCTCCAGTCACCTGGAGGACTGTCACAACAGACCACCGCCACAATCTAGTTCTGGAACTGTTGTCAGCCCAAAGAGTACCCTCAGGCCCATTTACAGTTTTCCTCTTCACCTCTCCTTCCAGGGAGCCAACAATTTGCATTCTCTCTTTGTGGTTTTGCCTTATTTAGAAATGTCATATAGCCAGGTGTGGTGGTGTACGCCTGTAATCCCAGCACATGGGAGGTTGAGGCAGCAGGGTTGCAGCATGTTCAAGGCCAGCCTGGACTACACAGTGAGTTCAAGGCTAGCCTGCACTACAAAGTGGGATTCTGTCTCAAAAGACCAAAAACAAAAGGTCTTATAAATGAAATAATACAAAATCTAGTGTTTTATATCTAGCTGCTTTCACTTAGCATAATTTTTTGAGATGTGTTCATGTTGATTCTATGAATGAATGATTTTTATTGCTATGTAGTATTTGATTGTTTTAATTTAGTACATTCTGTTTACCTGTTCAAGGGCATTTGGGTTGATAGCGAGTTTTTTTTTTTTTTTTCAGCTTTAATTGAGTTTATTGGTACATTTTAGGGATACAGTACAGTTACATTCATTGTTGGGATCTTGTACCTCTACATGACAAGTCTTGATTCTCATTTTTTCCCCTTACCCCTGCCCTCCCTTCACCCCCCCCTCCCCTCCCCGTCTACAAACACTTTATTTTCATCTTTTCATTATCTCACATTTTTTTCTTTTCCCTTATTACCCTTCCCCTACCCATCCCACCTTCCCTACACCTTTAGCTCCTTTCTTCCCATTTCTAAATGTCAGTAATCTTATTAGGATCTTATGTATTATTGCAGATTATTCACACCAGGGAAACTATTCGGTATTTACACATGTGTGACTTATTTATTTCACTTAGGAGTATATCTTCAATATGTATCCATTTTCCTATGAATGAATCTATTTTCTCGTTCTTTATGGCTGAGTAAGATTCCATTTTATAGAAAAACCACATCTTCTGATAGCGAGTTTTTTAAGTTGTTAGAATTTTATGTATTTGTTCAAATAATTGACTTTTGAAAACTGCATTGCATCTACTACATATTTGTAGACCATTGTTCAGTGGTCCAGATTTCTATAGAGTTAACATGTTTTCTCTACCTGTGTCCTTGTTAATTTTTAGAAATGTTCACAGTGCCTGCCATCTGTTATCTTACTCTTTCTAATCTTATCAAGTACAGCTTTGTACCAGAGCCTAACATTATTGTTATTTTTATTACTTCTTTTTTTGACACTGTATTGTGGTGTTACCTTCCTTGGTGTGAAACATCCTGGCTCAGGTGATCCCTCCTACCCTTACAGGCACATCCACCATGCTCCATGCCCACAGCTTAATGCTATTATTGATGAAATGAGAGTCTTTAAGTTTTTATTTTAGCTCTCCCAGAATATGGATCAAACTAAACAGTGTTTTAATTTTAATATTGGAATAATCACAGTGAAATTGGATTTCCTTAGAACAGTCGTTTTTAAACTCCTTTCTTGAAGGGGACAAAGGATTTATGGTGATGCCCTCATGACTAGCATGGCTGACAGGGTGTGAATATTTACACAGTGCTCTAGGCCCCAGTTTTTCTTCAACCGGAGTTTTTTTTTTTTTTTTTTTTTTT